GGTCCTCTTCATCCCCTCGGTCCTCTTCATCCCCTCGGTCCTCTTCAGTCACTCGGTCCTCTTTAGTCACTCGGTCCTCATCATTCACTTGGTCCTCTCCTTTATTTTTCTCTCCTCTAGACCAGATTTCTCTGTTTTCATAACTGATACTCAAGAGGCATCTCTGGCACTACTCCCAACACACACTCCTGTTTTTCACCTCTTATGACCACGAAATCCTAAAACAAAGATATACTGAATAGCTGTTTCTGTACTGTGGCTCCTTGAAGGACCAAACATCATGGTAGTATCTAAAGGGCTTGTCCCAAACCCAATTTTTGTCCCATTGGGGAGTAATGTTCTCCCATGAAGATGCATGCTCAAAGTAATTAGTTCTTTTAAAGAATAGATAAAATCATGTTTGTGCTGATTAGAAAAAAAGGGGGGGTCATTTAGCCAGGTGGAGGTGCACACCTTTCATCCTAGCACTTGGGAGGCAGAGACATGCACGTCTCTGAGTTCAAGACCAACATAATGAGTTCCAGGGCAGCCAGGGCTACACAGAAAGATAAAACAAAACAGGGCACTTTTACCTACATACCTATCAAGCAAGTATAAACCGAAGCTCTCCATTCTTTTATAGATGATGCTGTCTACTGTCGGTTGCTTCACAGCACCTCCACGTTCAAAGAACATCTTCCTGAGAATATACTTGGAAAGTACTGTGACCACAAAACATCATATTCACAGAGAGTTCAAAGGGTAGGTTATTTACATAAATGTTTCCATCCATTCTATACTGATTTTTTTTTCTAGTTTACTATGGAGAAGATGATTGCTTTCTAACTTTTTTTCTCTGAATTCTGAAGTTATACAGCCTCTTTGCTACTTATAACCTATTATATAAAGCTATCCATTTCAACTGAAGATCAAGAATTAGGCTAGAGAAGAACCAAGAGAATAAAGAAAGAGGGAGTGATCAGTCTTCTCACCTTTTTAATCTATAAGATCTCTTCCGACTCTAAAATGTTATGATCTTAATCACACGCTGAGTTGTTCTCAAAGAAGTGTTTTACAAATTACATGTTGCTTCAAGATTGGGGGCCAATGCTATATATAGCATTTTAAGGAGACTCTCGGAATACTAAACATCCTTCACTACAGAACATTTACTTAGTTTGAGTTCTGGAAGAAGTAAGCAAGATAGAATTAGCTGTAAACCGTATTCATGAAAGGAAATGGGGTATAAGAACAAGGGAGAAAGAGGTAAACTGGGAGACTCTTCAGACTGGTACAGCCCCTACAATACAGCTGCAAGAAAGCCACAATACAGCTGCAAGAAAGCCTTGGCCATATCAATAAGGAAGCTCAGGTGCATGGGAAATGATTTTTGAGAGGTCTCAGTTTGGACAGACACTGCTTTGCTCAGCCATTGGTGGGGGGCAATTCAGGAAGATTACAGCTTATAGCTTAAAGGCTGTGATGAATCCCCAAGATGCAATACTTGGGAAACTGTTGGTTAACTATAGTTCTCTCTCTCTCTCTCTCTCTCTCTCTCTCTCTCTCTCTCTGCAGAGAGAGATATAGATATAGATTGATAATCGATATATAGATTCTGTAGATAGATTAGATAGACATAGATAGATAGATAGATAGGTAGATACACACTACATAGTATATACATATTAAAATGAATATTACAAATAAAACAAAATAATATAAAAATAATTGATGACTGTTTTGATGTTTTCCCTTTTATCTCTTTTCTTTTCAACCAGGATACTGGATACAGAATAAGAAAATTTGAGAGAATAAAACTCAGGAGTTGAGTTCCTGCCTGGAAAGCAAGATGAGGGAACTTTCCAGCCTACACCAATGTTCACAGTTGATTGAATTACATGATTTTTCTTCTTTTGAACTCAGAAGTCATTTGGAAACTTTGGGGGAAATTTCACCACATCCTTTAAGTCTTGCTTATGGCTAGCAGGGGAGGTGCATTAGAACTCACAGAAGTATCTCAGCCTCCAGTATCAGTAGCCTTGCCATAAATCTACCCATAAGGTTTCCTGTCCAAGCTTCATTGTCAGTATCGTTCATGTTCACAGTTTTACCTCCACTGCTAGCCATATTTTTCTGGATGGTCTTAAACTATTTGCTGAGTTTTGGGTTTTTTGTTTTGTCTTATTAGATTTTGTTTGTTTTGTTTGTTTGTTTTGCAGAGAGTTTTCAGTTAGGTAAATCTTACATTACCATTAAGAAATGCTCTGAGTTGTGCATTGCCCAGTAACTGCTTCTCACTGTTCTGGCTTTGATGGTATTTTGGTATTATTTTTACTTTGTATCTTAATCTGTGGACATAGACCACACCATTATTAGTTTCTACTGGAGATATCTATGTGTGTGGCATGTATTCCGGATTATGTGTATGTCTGTACATATGTGCACATGGGTGTAGAGGACAGAAATTGACTTAGGGCTTTTTTCCTCCATCACTCTTCCATCTTAGGTTTTGACCCAGGGTCTCTCACTGAACCTGTAATTCATCAGTTCAGATAGGCTGGCTGGCCAATGAGTTTCCCAGACCTGCCTGTCTCTGCCCTCTCAGGACTGGGGTTATCTGCCATATCAGATGAGTACTTTACTAGCTGACTCATCCTGTGGAAACAATGTATCCATAGGATTCTTATTTGGGTCTTTCTTCTTCTTCGTCTACTTTATCTTCTTTCTAATTATTGTTTCCCAGCATTTGTTACACCACAAGCTTTTGTATCTGTATTTCTTGACTCCTTCATGGTTATTTCAGTCCTGCTTTCCCTCTTTGTCATCCTAGCAGGGACTCTTAAACCATCGGGTGTGGGCAGCTGCTCCTCCATAACCTCTGTGGGCCTCTCCTCTTGAGAAAGTTATTTATTAAGGCAAACCACAGCTCCTGTCATTCAGTTAGTTTCAGGGCTGCAAGTGCTACTTATCATTCTCCTCCACAGTCAATGGCAAGTTCTATTTCCCTTAGGCTGTTTCTTCCATAAGCCTAAGGGCTTAGCTTGTATGACTCCAGTCCTCATTCCTGATTTTTGAAAACATGTATATTGGTAATTATTTACATCTCACTCTGGAATTGCTGCACATGTCCTTCCACAGTTAGAATTTGGAATCAAAATGTTCCCAGATTAGTCACCTGTATGCTTTCCTCTGCCTAGCAGCATTTTGGTTTCCTATTGCTCTAGCTCAGTTACCACTGCCAAGATGGGAAACCCTTGCCTGCTCATACCTGGATCCAGAGTTCAAAATAGTCCAAATAGTAGCTCTAACTTACAGTCTAATAGGACTCTTATTGTGTCTCCTGGCAGAAATGCATCCCATTTGGAAGGCAGGACTTTTATACCTTCAATATAAAGAGTTGTGGGGACAGGAAAGTGTCCCCTAACAAGTCAGTAGAACTGGTGTTCAGTGGGGTCGTTTCTGCTTTCTCTGTTTTGTTCTTGGATCCATGTGATTGTTCTTAGTAGGGACGATAATCCAAGTCAGTACTGTTTCTTGAAGGATGGCACTTAATCCTTATGAAATCCTGCTTCTGGACTGGCACTTCAGTTATGCCATTATTACATAACACTGAAAGCGAATGTCAGGGTTAAACAGCAAGGTCAGAAACACCGAGGAAGGTAAATAAGAAGGCTTGCACCTGGCTATGAAACAGCCAAGCTGACCAGGTAAGAGAAGAGGCAGAACTCTGGGAAAACCAAAACCTGTTGAGATGTTTCAGCAGGGCCCAGGAGTCCCACCTTCCCCTGCAGGAACATGTACAAGGTTCTGTTGTCCCTTCCCTTAGGAAACATCTAAAATTTACAGGTAGTTAAACCTTCATGGATAACCATGCATCTAATTGTAACAGACTGAATTGTGGGTAATGGCTTCTGAGAAAGCTTCCACCTTTTTTAAGAGGATGACCTCTCCAGACTGCCCCAGGGATAGACAAAGGAGAATTGGTAGACAAAGTCCAGAAGCTAGGGGCATCCCTTGGCCATTGCCACTTGGCTCACAGTACCCGTCTTGCCTTTGCCTTCCCACTTGCTACATACAGTAAACCTCAACAACTTGTTTGCCCTACCTGTCCCCTAGTGTGAATCTCTTTGTCTGAGATTGGAGGACGTGGGAGGAGACATCTCTGACAGCATCAGTAGGTTGCCTGGTGATCTGTCAAGTTGAATGACCCTGTCATTCCCTAGTCTCGAGTTCACATATTGTCGTTTACTGTGAAGTAGGTCCCGTTTGCATGCTGTTGAATTGGATCCCATACCTGTGAGTCAGGCATTCTTTAAGGCCCTAAGTAATGATAATATAGGCTAAGGCTCTGAAAGGCAGAACAACAAATCCATACCCAGAATAAGTGTTTATCCCTGTTGGGATAGACAACTAGCCACTCCAAAATGGAAAGAGTCCATGTTATTGACCAGGTATCTGATTTGTCTCAAGTAATACTGTGGTATTGGGAACACAGTGTAGGTCTCTCTCTATTCCTAGCACGTTCCTTGGAAACAGATGTAGGTATGGATTGGCTTTTGTAGTTGGGAATTTATGTTGTGACTCACGTATAGCCTCCTATGCAAACATAACTACTCATGTGTTGTCTTAGTGACAGTTGTAGAGTAGGCCATGACAAACACTTGCTTAACAACAACTGATGAAATCCTTTGTCGGTTTGAGTTTCTCTGTTTCTTTTTCATGATGGATGTTCTGGTCAGAATGAACATGTCATTGGCTACTAAGCAAGACAGGCACCTTTAGGGACAAAATCGTATGTTGAGGCACCTTCAGGGTATCCTTTCTTTGCAGCTGAGGCTTTATGGCATAAGCAGCAGAACATTCCTTGGGGCATGTCTGCTCATTAGTTTTTGCTCAGCGAGCTCCAGAATGTGTCTACTATATCCTCTTTTAAAACTACGACCTTAAACTGAGTTTGTTCAGGGATGTACTCCTTAACTAAGCATGCTTATTGTTCAGTCTTGGGCCAACCCTTATGTGAATGTGTATAGGCTCTCTGAATAAAATTCCCATGCTTTGTTGGAGGAGCTTTGGAAAGGACACCTGTGTTGTCTCTTATCTATTGCAAGTAATCTTTCTCTGGTCTTTTTATATACTGACTGATTATTTTAGCTTGCACTCAATGATATGTGAACCCGTTATATTTGATTACAATATAATAAAGAAGATTCTCACCCCTTGTGACAGCACATCTCCATTTCTTTACCTCTCTTCCCTACTCTGTTGTCCCTGACCTTCCGATCTTCACTGCTAGGATCCTCTCCCTTGGCAAGGCCATTGCTGTTGCACAGGCATCTTCACAACACAGTTACTCTCATTCCACATAGAGTGGATGAAAAGTTATGGGGTGAAAGCTTTGCAGTTAGCAAGTTTTGCCCTCTCACTGTCTTTTAGGGTCACCTAAGTGTAGCTTCCTTTTGTACACCAAGCCAAATTCTTTATATAACAAGCCAACATTGTCTTTTAGCCAGGGCAGTTGGAGGAAGATGTGCTGGCTCAAGCTCAGTGCATGGCAATAGGGGTCCGGGATACAGGTTCATGAAGATGATTCATCCCTGCCAATACAACGCATCTTTTACACACCTCCATGAACTGCTGCTGGGCCCATCTACCTTAGGACTTAGCTCATAATGAATTCAAATACATAGTAACTTGGAACCCCATGGTCAAGTTTTCTGTCTTTGGTACCATATCTAGTATGGTTTCTTGAAAGGAGTACAATCCTGTTAGAGGTATCACTTTTCTCTGTTACCTGGGACATCTATATTTTGATCTCCATGTATATGAAAACCTACAGTTACAAAGCCATTTGTTGCTCCTGGGTGTATTCTAAATAAAGGGCAATATTCCTGTGTGGCGTTGTTGCTTCCAGATCCCACTGTTAAGCCTGAGACACAATATACTGTGTTTTTTTCTGGAGGGAGTGTCTCCACCTACCGCTGACTACTGGGCCTCTACACGCTTTTCATGTTGAATTGAGTGATTCTTCTTAGGGTTTATATTATACCTTCTGAATACCTGTCTTACCAAGGCTTCTGTCCTATAAGTGACCTCTTGTCACCCTTCTCAATTTTAACATTATTGGTCCAACATATTAGCGTGATGTCCAGACCTCTTTAGACTATACTGCCCTAGAGGTGACAGAATTAATAGTCCTTAGAAAAGAAGCTAGAAACACTGTCTTTACAAGGTTGTAAACTGCTTGTCCTTGCTTCTGAGTTAAATATGAAAGAAATTTTTTACCAAATCATTGTCCATAAGTCATGTGCCTGAAGCCTTATACTGACCTAGCAGTGACAGCATGCCAAGCATAGTTTCTATTGGGACCAGCACTTGGTTAAGCTAGCTGTCATAATCTGCATGCTGTCTAGATGCTCCCGTTTCCCTGAGATAGTCTTTATCTCTTAGCTTGTATAGAAGACAATTTTGAGGCTCTTAGTTTAACTTCATTAGCTCTATATAATAGTCCAAGTAATATTTCAGTTGCCAGTGATGTCTATCATAGTTAAAGACTCAGGGACCAAAGAAGCAGATTTTTTTTCCAGCCAGACTTGAACTCTGTATTACCTACTCTCATAAACTGTAATAGTAAGCTGATCTTTCGAGTGTCAGGTTATCAAATATAATCAGACTATGGACCTACATATCCTTGGCTGACTGGGTAATCCTCTTCCCACAGTATAAGTATCCTATAGAGGTGCCCAAGTGTTTTTGTAGAAAGACTTTTGTGGAATGACTAGAGGAAAATCATTCCAGTATTCATGTGTCACAAAGGACATTTGAGAAAGTCTATACAGGATGATCATGCCATCAAACACTTGAAACTGACAGCATTAACATCAAGAAACTGAAGTGGAAATTTAAAGGCTCTTTGGAAAGTCAGTTGTGTCAGATGGTGTTTTGCTGGGGCAAACACATGAAGGAGTGTTCTCCTCAGACACAGGTGAAAGGATGTTCTGCTAAAGGCAAGCACATGAAAGGACACATGATGAAGGATCTTCGCTAACTACAGACATGTATTGGTCCACCTTGTTGAGCTCCTTTTGTCGAGACTCCATAGAAATGCACCAAAAAATTTCTGGTGTGCTGCGGCTTTTTGCCACTTCCAAGAACTCGAGCCAATTTGCAGAGAGTGAAGTCAGCTGATACAGACTCACATGAAGTTTTGCTAAGTCATACATGCTGAGGCAAGACACGTAGTGAGGCAAGACCCATGGAGGACACCTGAGGAAATATAAGTAGGACAGTAACTGGGGGACTTGGTATAGAGTTAGCTGTGCAACACTTGTTGGTCATAAATCTTCTCTGAACTTCGCTTCGCCGAGAGAAGCACAGCTGAGAACTTGTCCTGACATCCCTGCTGGTCCAAATCCCTCCTGCTGACTCCTGCCAATTTGGCTGAGGCCTGGCTATCTCTACTAGGACATGCCACAGTTGTTGATTCATGCTTGATATCCCAACTTTACCAAACTGGACTTGCTGGTGTATCTGTGAAGTGTTTGCAAGTAGATTGAGCTGCCTCTGCTAACCTGTGAACTGAACTACTGATTTCCAGACAACACAGATGGGATTTGCTCCAAAGAACCTTTCTAAACAGGCCCTCTTCCTCCATATCCTTTCTTTTCCACTACCTCTGGTGGGTGGTGGGCTACAAGGGAGGTTAAAGTGTTTAAGAACCATCATTAATAATAGGTTTTTAAAAAATCGAAGTTATAAGAACAAAGTCTCTCTCACACAGAGACACACACACACAGGAAGTGGCTTCTGTGATAAAATGAGAAGGCCATGGGTCTCTCTGTGAAATAGTCTTGCTTCTTCCCCAATCAAATTCATAGATCAAGGGTGTCAGCAGTCACAATACAAAGGGGAGCATGACAAAATGATACACAGGCTCACAAATTAGCAAATCTAGAATGTGAGAAAGTAACAAATGACCCAGTTCTTCAAGAACATCAAAAGCAGGACATTTGTTTTTAAAGTGATTGTTGTATATTTTAAAAGATGAGACCTATCAAGTCAAATCTGATAGCTTACATGTGACCCCAGCACTCAGGAGGCTGAGGCAGGATCATCACAAGTATAAGGCCAGCCTGGCTTCATAGTCTGTTCCTAGTGCATTATGCAGACCCTATTTAAACTGAATCAAAGCAACTATTTTAAAAATGACAAATAACAGCGTTATGAGACTATGGTTTTGATCTGCAACATTAAAAATACCTAAGAAAGAATTAAGCTAGATATCTGATATTAAGGATTATAAACTCTCCTCACAGGACATGGTGGTATGTGGTTATATTTTTTAGATAATTAGATATATCTAAATGCCAACTGAGATTTGCTTCAAAATAACCTGGGATGGAGATGTTATGTTGATATTAGTGGGTCTCAGATCTACAAATCAGAAGATTAAAACACAAATTCCTAGGCCTTGCATCCGAGACTCTTGATTCAGGATGTGAGATGAGGCTACTGAAGTCAAGGTTTTAGTAGTCTTTCAAGGTTTTAGTAGTCTATCATGGTGCTGATATTGGCATCTCTAACACCCTGGTGTCTCCAACACAATCCACAGTTTCAAGCAATAGCTTCTGAGGTCCTCAGTTCACCACAAGGTCCCTCAGGGACTGGCTAATCTGAAGAGTTCTAGAGTGAAGGGTAACTCTTCACTGAAGACACAAAACCACTGCTGGAAGTCAGAAGCACTGCTCAAGAGTCAGTCACCTGCAGCAGTGGTTCTCAGCCTTCCTAAAGCTGTGACCCTTTAATACAGTTCATGTTATGGTGACCCCCAACCATAACATTACTTTCATTGCTTCTTCAAAACTGGATCTTTTGCTACTGTTATGAGTCATAATGTAAATATCTATATTGCCCAAGGGTCTTAGGCAACCCCTGTGAAAGGGTCATTTGACCCCTAAAGGGGTCTCGACCCACAGATTGAGAACCACTGATCTAGAGCTGGAGAGGGCATCACTGTCCTCACCCTGCACTCTCTGCTTCAGGAGATCTGGAGTGCGACACAAAAGTTCACATTCTTAAGCTAGTTCTGGCCAGTGCTGACGCTCTTTAAAATCAAACATCACTTCTGCTGTGCACAGCAAGTGTAATAGTTGACTCAAGGAGAAGCGTTTGTAAAATTGAGTTGTTGAACTAATCACTTATAGAACACTAGTTTTACTTAAAAGAGTGCTGACAAACAATGGTTATTTTGTCTTGGGTAGTTGATAATTGATAAATAACTACTACAAAGAAAATAATATATTTATTCCCAATGACAAAATGTGAGCTTTTAGACGGAAGCTAGAATTTTTGGGAAACTTGTATCAACTATCATGAGCGTAACTACATATCAATATTTAAGGATTTTTTTTTGTAGTAAAATAAGTAATGACATTTACAAATGTAGCTATTAGGTTACTATTTTGTGGTGCTGGAATGGAACTCAGAGCTTTCTGTGATACAGAATGTGAGCCCAGCATTCTAACTCAGAGCTTCATATCCAGCCCACTGGTATGTACTTCTCAGATGTAATGATATATGTCAGCACGTCAGCTTTTGGAGGCTCTGCAAATACATAAGTTATAAAATCATGCAGTGATGACGGCTATTCAAAGGGCAAACTACATAAACTAGTGTTAATGTAACAGTATGGTATAGTTTCAGATTCCACACTATAACAAAGCTTTCTAAAAACTACCAGTAGCAAGTGTAGTAGTACAAAGACTACATCTATCCACTCACACGAAGAAGACCGTATTGCTAACGTTCCTTCCCACCTGTGGGCATAAGCAACATCCATCTCTTATAAGGTCAGAATGACAAACTAAACATGACTCTGCTGAAGTTTACTCTGGGGAATCAATAACTTTATTGGGCTTCCATACAGAGAATAGATGAGGGATTACTTACAGATGTTCATGTGCTCCTCTATAACAGGCATGCCTGGAAAGTCTTTACCCAATAGGGATAAGGGCTTTCCTGTGGTCACACAGATGGACCCTCCTTTAGGTGGCCGCACCCACCTGCCCATTAGCCCTATCTCAAGACCGTGCACATTTAAAGCAGAGTTGTGTGCAACAGGTTGTAGAGAACAACTGGATACTCAAGTGAGTCTCGTGATGCTCCTTATCCCCCCCCCATGATGGTGTAAACAGTCAATAAGACCAGCGGGGATGGTCCTTTTGCAGGGGGTCACAGCTGAACTCCCCAAGCTGATGGTTGCTTGGCTAAGAGGACAAATAATAGTGCTACCTGAGGACCCAGCTATACCACTCCTGGGCATATACCCAGAAGATGCTCCACTATGTTCATAGCAGCCATATTTGTAATAGCCAGAAGCTGGAAACAACCCAGATATCCCTCAACAGAGGAATGGATATAGAAAATGTGGTACATTTACACAATGTTGTACTATTCAGCTATTAAAAACAGTGACTTCACGAAATTCTTAGGCAAATGGATGGAACGTGAAAATATCATCCTGAGTGATGTAACCCAGTCACAAAAGAACACACACGGTATGTACTCACTGATAAGTGGATATTAGCCCCAAAACTCAGAATACCCAAGATTCAATTCACAGACCATATGAAGCCCAAGAAGAAGGAAGACCAAAGTGTGGATGCTTCAGTGGTTCTTAGAAAGGGGAACAAAATACTCACAGGAGGAAATATGGAGACAAAGTGTGGACCAGAGACTAAAGGAAAGGTCATCTAGAGACTGCCTCACCTGGGAATCCATCCTATATACAGTTGCCAAACCCAGACTCTATTACAGATGCCGGAAGTGCTTGCTGACAGGAGCCTGATATGGGTGTCTCCTTAGAGGCTCTGCCAGATCCTGACAAATACAGACGTG